ATTATTATCAATATTATTATTATTATTTATATTTTAGCCCCTAAACTTTTAATAATTATATTATTTTACAAAATTACACATAATAGTACAAAATAAATTATATATTTTCATAACTGTGATTAAATAATATTAGTATAAATTCTACAGAATAATTAAAAATCTGGGTTGTTACAATCTTCCCTCCTTTTAAAATTTCATCCTCGAAATTTGTCATATGTAAGCTATCCACTGCGCACTTTGATAAATATATATTAGATGATTAATCTGATAGAAAATACTACATCAAAAAAAACTTCACTAAAAATAACTCACTGTCTATTTGTCAAAAATTGTTTTGGGCCAAAATAAGAAATAAGGAGCGGTTTTAAAAACTTTTCATTCGTTTTGTTTACGATAAAAAAAAAATAAAAAAAAATAGAATGAGGTCACAATGACAGAATCATATGCAAGAGTTGAAAAAATTTAAGATGAACTTTTCATTGATGAGAAATAGTTTCAAAATTATATCTTTATAATTTGAACCCACTTTTAAAAAAAAATCAAAATATATTTTTTTGATTACTGAACTGAAAATTATATGTATCTAATTATATTATAATTTTGGTGGGTGCTTGAACCCGACATCCTTCTTTTCTTGTCATTTTTTTACTTTAACAAATATAAATTATATCTAATATCCTTCACAAATTAGGCACACTAAAAAAAATGTATTATATATATATATAATCATATAAAATTATAATATAATTAAATCGATTAACAAAATGTAATATTTAGGTGTTAATTACCTACTATCCTACTTCTTAAATGTGCGTGTGTCCTATGCTCCAATGATGATTGTTTTATTTTTTTATAAACTTGGTTCTGATACCACTTGTCACGACCCGCTCCCCGTACCCAAGGGTCAAGCATCGTGATGACCAGTAACTGAAGTTACCTAAGGCCAATTCTTGAACTGATTAATAAACGCGAGCGGAAGTAATATTTAAATAAGGGTACCAAAATAATCATTAGAGTTTTTATTTTTATTACAAAATTATATTGACAAAAAATGCCGATATTTACATATAAAAATATCATAAAAGTGCTGTGTGTGTCTATTCCGCAGCCCCGCATATAAGACTTTCCAAAAACTATTTCTGAATTGCATGTTTCCAGAAAATTGGTAAACAACTATAAGCACATGGCAGAGTGAGAAATATTATACCAAGAGTATAAGGGACACGAAATAACCATGGATAGTTAGTTAGGCCAAAACATTTACGTAACTCAATTTGGTAAATAAATCATTTAAGTAGCATAACTGAAATACAAAAATTATGTAAATAAATAACCATAACCACGGTACCGAACAGAACAGAACATAATAGAATAGAGGTCACAGAAGTGACAATCAGAACAGAGGTACGGACTCAAGAGGTGACTCGTATGAACTATAGAGGTGGCTCCTACAATAGTGTAGCACTTATCTCTGCATAGCACTTTGCTCCGCACAGAACAGAAGTACAGATTCAAGAGGTGGCTCGTACGGACTATAGAGGTGGCTCCCACAATAGTGTAGCACTTATCTCCGCACAACACTTTGCTCTGCACAGAACAGAGGTCAATGGATTCATGACAAACAGAGGGTCACAAAGTAACCAAACATAAGCCAATGGTTATTTAAGTCTCCCAATACGTGGGACTCCCGTAGTGATACTTATAAAACATAATTGTTTATAAGGTCATAGTCAAATATTTTTTAAAATATAAACAAACATATCCATGAGTTTCATCTTTACAAATAGGGTTCAGAAATTAAATTACGTAACTGAAATATTAATATAATTTATAATAGTTTATAACTTATATAAAATAAATATGATAAGTCAAAACATATGTAAAATACATTTTGGTAACTCAAGGTATAATATAACTCACTTTATTTTTAATACCTTATTCTTTCTTTCCACTATCAAAGACCATCTTAGCTTCCATTATTTTTTTCTTTCTCTCTTCCTTTCTTCTTTTCTTTCTTCTTTCTTTTCTTCTCCAGGTGACACGCCTCCCTTTTTATAGGGAGATAAGGCGCATACGTGGCAGATTTGATAATAAATTCATAGATTCATTCTTATCTTTAATAGATATTTAAGATAATTATTCTTTGATCCAATATTTTAATATAATTATATAAATAAATTAATTCCTAATTAAATTACATTTTATCGTATATCAACAGAAAACTAATTAATTATTTTACTATCACACCTATTATTATTATTATTATTATTATCAATATTATTATTATTTACATTTTGACCCCTAAACTTTTAATAATTATATTATTTTACAAAATTATACATAATAGTACAAAATAAATTATATATTTTCCTAACTGTAAGTAAATAATATTAGTATAAATTCTACAGAATAATTAAAAATCTTGGTTGTTACACATCGTATCCATTTTCGACGCTTTATCTCTCATTCTCCTTTATTTTCTTCTCTCTCTCTCTCTCTCTCTCTCTCAATTCTTTGGTTCATACACAGATCTGAGTTGAAACCCTAGGGTTTCTTTTCTCTTTCTCTTCATCTCTTTTACCAATGGTAGATCTATATTAGAGCGCCTATGTTTAAACCATCGATTGTGCACAGATCTGAGTTGAAACCCTATGTGTAAGGTCCCAGTGTCCCATATCAGGAATGGAGGGGGAGTTCTTAGGCTATAAAAGTAAAACCCTAGACCCTTATATAGCATCGAGGCTTTTTCCCGAGTGATGCTTAGGCTAGAGTAGTTATGGGATGGGTGACCCATTGGAAAGAACAAATCTGGATAGGTATGGCCTAAAACGGATAATATCGATGACATGTAAAGGGTTGAGGCGTTACAAATGGTATCAGAGCTGACTCTTTGGAGTACCGAGTGTCGACCCTTACATCTTTTGGTGCATGTGGGCGGGCTTGTGAGCTGGTAGGCTACTGCACGGGGGGACGTGGAGCCTTAAGGGAGGTGGATTGTAAGGTCTCGGTGTCTTACATCGGGAATAGAGAGAGAATTCTTAGGCTATAAAAGTAAAAACCTAGACCCTTATATAGCATTTAGGCCTTTTCCCGTGTGGTGAAATCCCTGGCAGAACTCTCCAGTCAAGTGTGCTTAGACTGGAGTAGTTTTGAGATGGGTGACCCACTGGGAAGAACAAATCCGTGCGGGCATGGCCCAAAGCGAACAATATTGATGACATATGAAGGGTTAGGGCGTTGTCGGTGTCTCACATCGGGAATAAATGGGGAGTTCCTAGGCTATAAAAGTAAAAACCTAGACCCTTCTATAGCATCGAGGCTTTTTTTGGGTGGTGAAATTCCTAGCAGAACTCCCCAGTTAAGTGTGCTTAGGCTGGAGTAAGTCTGGGAGGAATGACCTACTGGGAAGAATAAATCCGTATGGACAAGGCCCAAAGCGGACAATATCGATGACATATGAAGGGTTGAGGCATTACACTATGTTTATATATATGTATATACACACACATATATATTTTGATAGTGGATCTAAGTCTTAATTGTTGGTTGACGTGGTTGTTGTTGTTATATTTTCAACCCTTAGTCGTGTAGATTTGTTGTTGTTGTTGTTGTAGATTTTCTTATTGTTGAATAAATAATAAAATTGGATATATAGGTTCAACAATTTTTTTGTATATCTGTTGAACATAAATTGATTATTGTGATGTTTTATTGTTATTGATGTTGGTGAAACAAATTGCAGATATATAGGTCCAACAGATAGATAGGTTTAACAGATTCTATATATTTAGTTTCACACAGAGAGAGAAAGTAGGTTCAACAGATAGATATAAAAATAGAACAAATAGGTCAAAAAATTCTATAGCTAAAAAAAATGAAATCAAAATTTGAACAGATGTTTGATTGCTTTGCAAATTTGTACGGACAAAAATTATACAGATGAAATTTGTTTAGATATTTGGATAGAAAATTTGTACAAATAAAAATATTGAACAGATAAAAAATTGGATAGGTAAATTTTGGACAAATAGAAAATTAGAATAGATTGAAAATTTATACATAAAAAATTTGAACAAATAGACAAAAAAAAATTGAATAGACAAAAAAATTTCAACAGATATACAACAAAAATTCAACAGATAGTCAACAAAAAGTCACATAGATAAAAAAAGTTAAGGGATAAAATTGAGAAAATAAAAATGTTCTCAAGGATTTCTCACCAAACTATTTAACAAAGTGTGGACCCCTCACTAAAAAAATAAAATAAAAAAATTGCTAGACCTAATGCCTCAGACAATTGCTAGAGCGAATTTTTCACCAATTTTCTCATATCATTATTGTTGTTATAATTAAAGAGCTCTTGATCATAATTATGATAATGCCATAATTAACCTCACAATAAGCCAACCACAAAGACTGTAATTAAGGTGCAAAGCGTGTGTACTATAGAATTTCTCAAAAAAATAAATGTTACACAAATAGCATTTGTGGAGTGAGAAGTACGATAAATGTCACTAATGTGATTGTTAGCAAAATTCAGTCTAAAAATTGGTCTATGGTTTAAAACAAGAAACCATCATTTTTAGTTAGGGCTTATTATATTCTAAAATAAGATGTATTATACTGCTATTGTTTTAATCAATTAAAAAGTGAATATGTTAATAAAATAATTTTAATAAACTATACAAATTTTTCGTGACAATTAACATAATTACATCTGACTCATTAATATAGTAAATTAAGATTCTATTTAGAGGATAAATACATTAAACAAAAAAGTCATTCAAATAGGCTCATCATCGTTTTGGCCTTCAAATTTGGATTTGCCAAAACATTAAAATTGTCCAAAAATGAAAAATTGAGTTTGGAGTTTTTGAAACCATTGCAAGTTCACAAACGTGTAGGCAAAGAAGTGAATTGTGGGGGGTTGGTTATTAGAGAACAAAAAACAAACACACAAAAAATTTAACCTGTCATTTTGCCCAACAAATCCTCTCCTCCCCCTCAAAATTCTACCTCTCATACCCCCAAAAATCAAGGATCTGTTTTTCTCTATTCTACTCCTCCCATGTCTCTCTTTCATTCTCTTGGCCCCTTTGCTCCTCCCTCATCTCTCACATTTCTCATTTCACATTTCTAGCTCCTCCCTCCTTGGTAGTCAACGACATGGTATGCTCTCTCTCTCTCTCCCTCTTTCATTATGAATTCTAGCGTTTAGTCAGGTGATAAGTTGAGTCTTGATATAGGCTTATGAAAACATAGGTCACTAATTCAAATTTCATAGAGCACTTGATCCCTTTAGAGCCATTCAAGGGTTTGTATTCAATAATTACCTGATATGTGTAGGACAAGAGACTGCATGTACCAAGAAACTAGTTGGGATAACTATAAAAACATTGGGTGACAAGTTGAGTCTTGAGAAGAGTTTGTGAACACATAGGTCATGAATTCAAATTTCATAAGGCACTTGATCCCTTTGGGACCATTTACACTATGTTTGGTTGGGGGATTTGGGAAGAGATTTGGAAAGAGAAAGGGAAAAGACGTGTGAAACTAGGTGAAATGTAAGTATATTTTATTCACATTTCACTTACATTTTTCTTTTTCCTTTTCAAATCCTTCCTAAATCTCCTAACCAAACACAGCGTTAAGGGTTTGCATCCAATAATTACCAAATATGTGTAATTGCGTATACTAAGAAATTAGTTGGGACAAAGCTCCAGATGCCTTGTTTTTTATATTAAAAAAAAAGGTATGATTATGTTTTTGATTACAGAAATATAATCATGATTATGTGTAAAGGTAAAGAAAGAAATAAAAAAAAGATTATAATGGTGGAGTTATTGTAGTTACTGTGGTAGTTATATTTGGTGGAGATGATTATGAGCTTGAACAAATACTCTCTGCATTGCATTATTTGGTTTGGTTTGGTTTGTCTTTGCCAAGTCTGTCTCTTTCTAGTTGGTTTTTAAAAGGAAGATCTAATTACATTTCATTGAAGCTATAATCACATTCACAAGCCAGGTAGTTTGAGCTGTCATGGATGTTAGGTTTGACTCTATGATTCTACTATATGATTGTGTGTATTCTTTAATACCCAACAATGCTATGTAATTAGAAAGAAAAAAAAAATTTAAAAAATTATTCAAAATTTGTCAATATAGTTGTATTATTTCATATAGTGAATGATTTGCATATGCTGATGATGCACCAGTTAAAATTTGAAAGGTTAGTTATATTATTTCACAATTTATTTCAATTGCTGCTATATGTATATACGAAGGCAAATGCGGCATCTGGAATGGCTGTGGATGATGAGTGTAAGCTGAAGTTTTTGGAGCTAAAAGCGAAGAGGAACTACCGATTCATAGTGTTCAAGATCGAGAACCAACAGGTGATCATTGAAAAGCTTGGTACTCCTGAACAGAGCTATGATGATTTCACTGCCGTCCTCCCTGCTGATGAGTGTCGCTATGCTGTCTTTGATTTTGACTTCATAACTAATGAGAATATCCAGAAGAGCAAAATATTCTTCATTGCCTGGTAAATTATTAATTAGTACTCATCACATGCTGATGAGTAGCCCTCCATTTTTTAAACATAGATGCTATTTTTTTTAAAATTTTTTTTGCGATACAGGTCTCCTGATACATCAAGGGTGAGGAACAAGATGGTGTATGCTAGTTCCAAGGACAGATTCAAGAGAGAACTCGACGGCATTCAAGTTGAACTGCAAGCAACAGATCCTAGTGAGATGAGCCTCGACATCATAAAATCGCGAGCCCTCTAAGCTTGCTTTTCTTGTTTTTTCCAATCCAAATCTTGCACTTTCATTTCGGGGAGGCCTTTTTCAATCCCTTTCTTCTGTAACTTGGTTCATTTCAAAACTGAACTAAGTGGCAATGCGATACCATAATGCATTTTTTTGTCAGCTCAGGTCTTCTTGAGTGGTTTCACTACACAATTAACCTTCTCTTCTTATAAGTTAGTTCTAGTCAAAACCAAGTGGATTTTTATGTCTTTTTGCAAGTTATTTTGCAATCTTCAGGGCTTTTTGAGCCTCATTCCAAATGGGTAGTTCATAGATATAGATTTCACTGATTTATTTTGCACATCTACAAGTTACCAAGTGTAATGTTCATATATATAATGCTTTTTTCTTTTTTGTAATATACTAATTTCTAAGTTTCTTCAATTTCAATAGACATATGGGCAGATAAATGGATCTTTCCCTTCATTTTGGGAAAACTAATATGATTTGTGTTTTATAAAATATAAAAACAGACAACAAAAACCAATATAAGTGAATTCTTTTCTTTGTCCATATGAATTGATTTGAATGATTTAATGCTATTATGATTAATGTAGAAAAAGAAGAAGAAGAGAGACAATGTTCTAAAATAGAATCCATGAAAACACATGGAAGAGAATAGATGCAACACTGGCCTTTATTTTATTTTTTGTAACAAGGTCTTCTTTTACTATCAAGTAATTTCATGAATAAACTGATCAACTGTTTACAAAGAAATGGGGATTTTCCATGCATGAAACTCTCTTTTCTTTTAGCATGAAAAAAAAAAACCACCAAAAAAACAAAAACTAAAAAAGGAAAAGAGTAATACAATTCTGTATTTCAGATTTACAGTATGTCTGTGTTGTTAGCTTCAACTCAGTTAGATGAAAGCGCAAGCTCTGCCCATGCCAAAGACGATGCCTTAAGCTCAGCAGATACAGACGTGTCGATTTTGCTCTCCAATATCGTGCACAATTCCTCCATTGACATGGGTTTTGAGGGATCTGGACTAATGCAAAGAGTCACCACCTCACATATTACCCGGAGATCATCAAATCTGAAATGCTTCAACTCAGGATCCACCACAGATGACATTAGATCCGGCAGTTCAAGAAAATCCTTAGCCTGCACCAGAGCGAGATACATTTCTCGTCCATCAGTACATCCTAGCAAAAAATTATTGTTGTCTACTGTTTGAAAGACAGTGAAAATTCACTATCATAAGACTCAGAAAATGTTCTTATTCATTGTCGGTATAGCCTAGCAACAAGTTATTGTTTTGTATGAAGTATTGACAAATGTTCAAAATCTAAAAGTTTTCGATGAAGTTCTTACCCAATCTACCAAACAACCTTTGTCCTTGCAATAAGGAGGTCTCCCGCTAACTATTTCCAGTAAAAGTACACCGAAGGCATAAATGTTCCCTTGGAAGTCCAGATGGCGTGCCTCTAGCGAATTGGGAAGAACACTGACAGTGCCTTCATGGCCAATAGAGCCAGAGTTCTTTTCTGATCTCGAAAGAATCGACTTCCAACTTTCGAAATCAACCAGCTACAGCAAAAATTGAGGCAAGTGCTTTCAACCATTAAAATTTTGCATAGGGTGTTGCAGTATATCAGGATTGAAAAGCAAATCATCTAGAAAGAAATAAAATAAGTAAAGAAAAATGTTTATCCTCAAAACATGCGAATTATGATTTAATAAGAAAGGAAAAAAAAGAAAGAAAGAAAGAAAAAGAATCATCTTGAATCTTCTAACAGCAAAATTGAATTTGACGATTGATTTTTAAGAAGCTTTTTTGATGACTTTTTATTTGTCTTTAGTAAACTTTTTTTAAAATGTTTTTAAAAACTTCACTTTTAGACCGATGTAAGAAGTAAATAAATATATTTTTTTTGGAAAAAAGCATAGTAAAGACCACCAAAAAAATAAAAAAAAAAAATTTGACACTTTTCTTGTTGGGTCTTTTAGTGAACTTTTAATTAATTTTTTTTTTTTTTAAAGATTCTTTTAGATTAGACAGACCTGAAAATAAAAACTTTTCACACATTTAAAAAAATAAAATAAAATTAAAGATTAAAAAAATTTGAAAAAAATTATAACTTTTTTAGATGTTGCCAAACAAAAGTCTCTGCTCAAGGTTTCAAGAAGGCAACCCAATTATTTGAAGTTCATGATCTCTGACTTCCAATTCCCAACCTCGGTGATTTTTTCAACATAAGGTGATTTCTATACTAAAATAAACATTTTGAAATTTTGGTAGAATGCTCACACTCTGTAATATTGGAACATACAAGGTGTTGGGTGTACCTTGGGAGACAAATCTTCTGTAAGATATACAGCACTAGAATTCAACTCAGATATAGTAAATGGCGGGTCAAGTTCTGCGTGAAGATAGTTTAGTCCCCGAGCAATGCCTATAACAAGTTTCATTCGCCGTGTCCAAGTTAACTGGCATCCTTCTCCATCTGCAATATAAAGAAAGCTAGGGATTGAGCTACTAAAGCATGTTGAAGTAACCAACCGCTACAAATACAAAGCTTTACTTACAATGGAGGTGCTCATACAGTGTCCCATTTGATGCATACTCAAAAACCAGCATCCTCGTAAATGGATTACTCTCTCTGCAATAACCAAGTAGCTTTCCCGTATTCTCATGGTTTAATCTTGCCAAATCAGCCACCTGAATAGTGCAAAAACTAAAAGATTTAAAAGGTTTTTTTCAAAAATATTTTAAAGATTTTACTTTCCAATGGAGCTTCAGCTAGAAGTTTGGTTTAGTAATACCAAACACTTTACCTCTCTCTGAAAATAAAGCTCGAGATAGCCTGCCCAATTCTCTTCTTTAATGCAAAGGGATATAACAGCAATCTCGGGCCCGCCTTGGATGGTGCCTTTGTAGACTATACTGTCTGGAGAGGCCCCGATAATGTTGCTAAAATCTTCGCATGCGACTTCAAGTTCTTGTCTGCTAAATCTCAATACATCCTTCAACATCTCTGATTCTGTATAGAGACTCCACCAAAATTGAGTTAGTAGTCATTTCTTGTCTGCTAAATCACTCTGTATGGTAGTTTTTGTTTTCATGTTTTTGGCAATAAAAGTGGGTTGTTTTCATAAAATTTTCCAGAAAGCAGTTTCTGGAAACAATTTTCCAAATGTCTAAAATAAAAAAAATAAAAAATAAAAAACGAAAAAATGAAAATGAAAACACAACCAAACAGAGTGATATTTCACGTTATAAGAGAGCTTACCAATATATGTAGTCATGTGGCCGTTATCGCTTGCAGATTTCTTCCAAGGGATAGTGATCGAAGAATTGCTTTTGCACCTCTGGAGAGCGGTGAGGAGAGCAACAAGGAAGATAGACCCCACCATGGTTCCGGTTGCTATTTCCAGAGCTAAAAGCCAGGCAGGTTTTGAAGCTGAGATGGGTTTCAAAGTTGCCTGATGCTTAGTTCCATCTTGAGCAGGCCGGTTGTTTGGGTTGACTCCTGAACGGTGTTTGGCAGGTGGAGCACCACCTGTAATAAGAGGAATATTGCCATTTACGAATCACAGAATCGAATTTGAGGAACTATATTTGCACCCAACATCAACATGTTCTAGTTAGTCCAACTTTTAGTGTTGTGAAATGTTTCCAAAATTTTGGTTTGGTCATTTACTCTGAAACATGTGAATTACATATTTGCAAGGGATTAATCAATGGTTAAGCAGCCACCAAATATACAACTACTAGAAGGTGAGCTATGAAAAATCTGATGATCTTTTACTGATTGACCCAAAAAAAAAATATTGTAAATGAAGAGAAAAGAAAACTGAAGAAGTTATAAAAACTGGAAGATTGAAATTTAAAATAAAAAAGTGAGGCAATTGCAGGCATTTGGGAATGAAAAGTTGTGACAAAAGCTTCACTGGGTTGGAGGCTTTATATAATAGAAAGAGATAAAGATCATGTTGTACATACCACATTGTGGAGTAAGGCGCTGTTTGGGATCATTATCTTGAAGGCAGTTTCCTTGAAAGCTTGAGCTGCATAAAACAAATGTAAACAATAGTTTTAGAGTACCAAAAAAGGGGGTGGAAAAAAAGTGTCCAAGTGACAAAGGGAGAGTTACCTAGGAAGGTACTCCAGGCACTTGGGTATGCTCCCAACAAAGAAGTTGTATGAGAAATCAGCAACTTTTAATTGCGATGAACGACACAAACCAGTAGTGTTCCAACTTGAGGCATACCTGTAACAGAAATAAACCGTGTCAATTTTAAGAACATCAATACATTCAAATCATCTAAATAATGCTGTTTTTCATTATTATACAACAACATTCATAACATTATCAACTTTTATATATTCTTTTCACTATTTTACATTATTTGACTCCTTAATGCTTGATTAGCAATGACAGAACATTACTATAATTAGAATCAGGATACCTTTATGCAAGTATAATGGGAAATCAATACTTATAAAAAAGCAGGTAATCAAGAAAAAATTAAGGAAACATGACATTCAAAACAGGAATTTCTCCCATACTCCCTATCATTTTTGCTTTTTCCATTCTGTTTTCTTGGTAGCCAACCAACGGGAAATAATTTCCTTTATACTTTCTTTTCCTTACCTTCACTAAATCCATGAATTAGCCAGCATTTTAGTATTTAGCTAAGCATAAAACATACAACTAGTAGTGTTATATTACGGATCTGTAGATTGTATTGATCAGTTCATCAATATTGTATTGTAGCTAACAGTAAACGAAGAGTGCGATTATATACATCTTTATTTTCTACTTAAAAACACATTCAAGTCGAAATACTCACTACAAGAAACTATTTCAGCGACAGCACACAAAACTTTAAAAAGTCCAATGCAAGAATTTTCTACTTACATCCCATGACCGGTGGATGTAAAATCTGAGTTGTTACTTCCAGGAACAAATCCTTGAAGCTTATTCCTATCTAGTCGAAGTTCCTCGAGGTACTTCAAATTGCCAAGTTCAGGAGGGAGTGTCCCCATCAATCCATTGGATTGCAGATTTCTACAGAAAAACAAGTAAAAAATGAGAAAGAAAGCAAAGCGGAACGAGACATAAAGTCGATTGAAGAAACAAAAATGTCAAATTCCATTACATTTTCATGAGGCTGGTCAAATTCCCAATTTCAGGAGGAATTGGACCCAATAGCCGATTCATTCCCAAATCCAAGACCCTCAGGTATTTCAACATGCAAATTTCTTTGGGTATTACACCAATCAAATTGTTTCCGTGCAAAACTCTGTAAATCATCAGGATATCAAATTAAGCTTCAACCGTTGTGTTCTATTTAACAAATAATTAAATGAAACAAGAAAACAGAACCATTATATAGTTCGATTAGAAGGAAAGCATACAGTTCTCTCAAGGAAGAGAGTAAGCCCAATTCTGGAGCAAGAAAACCTTTCAATGATGACCCAGAAATGTTTCTGCAAAACAGAGTTTCCACCACAAATGGACAACAACAATTAGCCTTTAATTTTATGCTATTAATTCTCAATTGCAATAACCTTAAAGAAATGTACTTGTTACTGCTAGGGGTACACAAGATATCCCAAAAAAAACCGAGAATCGAACTAATCCGACCTCTACAAGTTGGGTTGGTTTGATTTTTTTTCAATACATTGGTTCGATTCTAGGTCTAAAAATAACGAACCCAGTCACAACATAGATATAAACATGAGTGTATGTGATTAAGATCATATATCATACATCTTCAAGACATGATCTTGAGCCACAGAACAGGAAATGCCAGACCAATCACAAGGGTTTTCATCTAGGGTATTCCAATTTGACAAAACCAGAAGTGGGTCCTCATTTATAGCTTCCTTGAAGGCAGAAAGAGCATACTCTGCGCAAAACCCAGAATCCTCAGTGAGAAAAAAACTCCATAAAACCCAGATCATATGCAACACTAATATGAATAATAGCATTAAAATAGAAACCCTATACAGAATTGTGCATAAAGAGTGACTGAATCAAAGATCCAAGCAAGAAACAAGAAGAGCAAAGAGATAGCGAGACCTTCATTTGTAGCAAAGGCTTCACAGGTCACAAGAAAGAGTCCCAAACAAGCCCATACAAGTTGAAATACACTGAATGGCCTCATTTTCTCTGCAACTCCACAATCTCTCAAGAACTCATCGAGTTGGAAAAGAAAAGAAGAGAAGAGAAAAGAAAAGAAAAAGGTACAATTGTGGGTTTATGAACGGAGAGATTAACCAAAAGGGTTTAAATGAAGCACGAAATTAAAGATAGCTTAAAGGTAAATCTACAAATCTGCAACAACCCATGAAAGCAAAACACTGGGAAAAGAAAAAAATGAGACAGTGAGAGACTCAAGTTGTTAGAGGTTTCGTCGATGAGAAAACTTGGATTCAAAGAGAGGTTTGTTGTCAGAAACAGAGAGAGAGAGAGAGAGAGAGAGTGTGTGTGTGTGTAGAACAAAGATTTTTGAAAAATAAATGGATAAAATGATAAAGAAAAAAAAGTACAGAGAGAGGGAAAAAACAAGAATAAATGGATAAAATGATAAAAGAGAGAGTGGGAAAAAAACAAGAAAATATTTCGAGAAGATTGTTAAAAGTTATCTTTTAATTTTTATTTTATTTTGATCATATTATTTTTTATATTTTTTACATATTCTTAAAAAAGTTTAAAAAAAAAATAAAAAATTAACTTTTAATCATCTTTTTAAAACAATCCAAAAAAAAAAGAAGAAAGAAAAAAAGAGATAAAGATAGAGATATCTGTGTTCAGGAATGTTTTGTTTCTGTTTGATGGATTATTAAAATTGGATGTTTTTTGTTTTAATTTTTTTTTGGTGTGATTAATTTATAAAGAAGAATAATATTATATGTATTAATTAATGTACTAATGAATAATGTGATATAATTTAAAATTTTAAATATTTATAATTTATATAATAAATAAAATTAATAATAATATGATAACATATATTAATATATTAATTAATATATCATCCATATAACACCACCGTAGAAGGAAAGATTATTACAGAGATTGGACCGTGTGGGGTTGTAACTTTATGCTTTTAATCTTCACTACTAATGATTGATTTTAGGCTTTAATCTTTAGCACTTTAGCACTGAATTGGATGGCTATAATATCTCCCCATACCAGATATTAAGGGTTGATTTGTGATGTTATAAAAAAATATATTTTTTAATTTATTGACTTATATAGATTGAATTTGAGTTGAGTTTGATGTGATGTGTTAGAGAGGTGTTGTGATTTAAATAAGATGATGTGACTTAAATAGGATAGTGACTTTTTGTATTATTTAGTGTACCCCAAACCAAGCCTAAGGCCTAATTTATTTTCTTTAAAAAAAGAACAACAAGAAAAAAAAAAGTACATATGTAAAAGTTCATTTTTTTAAAGAATTTAGAATGATCTAAATAAGTGTATTTTTTGATTTTTTTATGAAATATGAGTTGGATATAGGTTGGGTTTAAAGTAATGTGGTAGAAATGTGATATGACTTAAACAAGATGATTTGATTTAAATAGAATAGTGACTTTTTGACTTTTTTAAGTTATGACAAATAAGGTCTTATTTTTTTTTTGTTGGGTCATGATAAACTCGAGTTCATTTTAAGCCTTTGCTTGGGGAGATGGGTTGAGTTAAGTTGGGTTTGGGACTATTTTAGTTATAAAAAGATAAAATAGATTTTTTAACTTAATAAGATAAAATATTATATCCATTATATTATATTCTTTTTCTCACAAAAAATAAAAAAAGTCAAAATATCCTTCTCCGATGAGGCTTTTTAATTCCAATCTTAAAATAATCAAAATAATCAAAAAATAAAAAAACTAACCCACTTCTCAAACGGACATAAGAAATTGTGTGGATGACTTGGAGTTTGCAAGTAACATCTGAACAGAATTGATAAGACATACAAAATAGTAAAAAATAAATGTTCAAAATATATTTAATTACACATATAATTACATTCATATAATTGTTACAATTTTTTATTTTATTATTCTCAAAAAAAATTAGGAGAGAGTTTATGTTTAGTTTGCATTTGGGAGATGAATTTAAAAAAAAATTTAAAAAAATTGTTTGGTTTGAGTTTTTCTCAAAAAATTTCTAAAATCACTTTCTCTCTCTTACACATCAATCAATCACTTTTTCTCTCTCCTCTCTCATTCTCAATCACTTTTTCTCTCATACACATCTACTCAAATTTTTCCAAAATATCAAATTATTCCAAATTCTCAAAAAAATAACTCTCCCAAAATATACAACCAAACAAACCAAAAAAATTTCTAAACTCTCTCTCCAAATTTTTTTTCAAAAATAATTCTCCCCAAAACAAACCAAACAGGCCTTGATCTCTTAACAATAGGTGTTTATAACAAGTAAAAATTTAATAAAACAGTGATGTTACTAATCGATAATAACATTAGACATGAGATAAACGAACTTTGGATATAATTATTTTTCCAAAATAATAATGTAATCACCACACATATATACCAAGATTTATTATGCTTATATGATAATTTATTATTAAAAAAAAATACCATGATTTAGTAATGATATGATTTGCTATTGTATTGATTTTTTCCCCATCTATTACAAGGGTATTTTCCTAGGAAAAATATGCTAAAAACAATCCTATGGCTGTTGTTAGTGTCAAAAAGAAAAATGACTTAGATCCCCAGTGGGGGTGCTAGGGTCTTCCCTAATTGGCCAAAAAAATTGTTTTTTTTTTTTTTTTTTTTTTTTGGTTTCAGTCAGTGGCAGGCTGCCCACGTGGCATTGGGGTCACTGGGGGTGCCCCCAACTGGGGGTCGGAAGCACTGCTGGTGTCAAAAAAATAATAAAATATGTAAAATATATATATACACATAGAATGTATAAAAAAATGTATAGAAATTATATTTTTTTTGACATTTTGTAATATTTATTAATAGTTCTTAAAGTCATCATTAGCAAAAACCCTTCCCAAAGGAAGATAGATCAACTGATAGAAACCTCTTCTATATTTGGCCCTCTTTTGTTAGGTTAATTGAATTCCCTCTCAATAATCAAATGTGTGTCTCAGAGGACACTCTCTCTCCTTTTCAAACTTTAAAAGATTAAGGCTATGTGCCTTAAAAAGACATTTTCAGCAGTTAAAGGTCAAATAGAAATGCCCTCTTTTCAATTGTAATGAGCAATTCTTGCATATGAAGATTTTGGGGACCAATTCATATGATCTGTCACACCAGTGTTTGGTGCTTGTGCAACTAGTAACTCTAGTTATAAAAGTCAAAATGATTCTGTTTTTGTGTAAGAAAAAAATATTTTTTGGGTTATGTCACTTTAATATTTCCATGCTATCAGCTGCCATAATAATTTATTCATCCAAAAAAAACTGCCATATTAATTTATGATCATTGGATCTATTTTTTTCAAAATATCATTTAGTGATTATGATTTTCCTTTGTTAATGTAACAAATTTAACATTTGACTTTGCAAAATTTTGACTCAAGATTTAGCACATCATTAGTGTAGTTTTATTTTTTTTTATATATTATAAAAATATAGCTAAAAATAAATTTGGCTCAAAAGATTGGTGCAGCTTTTGATTTTGATTGAATTTATAGATTTAAATTCAAAAGATTTGAGACAATTCATTCAAAGACAAGATTTAATAATTTAGAAATAAATTTTAAGATTGAATTTGAAAATTTTATTATGATGAATTTAAAATAACCATATAAAAATAGTTATTTAAAATCTTTTAATCTATAATTTAATTTCTGTTAGTTTCTCAAATAGTTATTTAAAATCTTTTAATCTATAATTTAATTTCTGTTAGTTTCTCAAGCTACCTATAATAACTTAATTTCTTGTATTTGTTTACAAAATTCTACTTTTAACATGTTCATTTGAAATTCATCCATCCAAACAGAGCCTTTATACCTCCACGAACTATTAAGTGTTAATTATGAATAAACCAGTTGTAATGGGAGAATTAGCAAGATAGATTATAATAATTAAGAAGCTTGCCTAAGCTCGTTAATTCTTAATTAGGAAAAGCAAGCTAACTCTTTTATTTAAAAAAAAAATAATTAATTTGAAAACATGAAGCTAACTTTTTGGCTTAGTTTAATTGGTTTTGTTTAACTAGCACTGTTTTATTTTAATTAATTAACAATAGCAATATGGTTATCATGATTATGTTCATCTGAGATTGGGTTAGGTTTGATGTCTCCCTCCACCATCAAAGTGAACTAAAGAGCAAGAAATTTCATGATTCACTTAAAAAATTTGGAATACAAAAAATCCGTGATTGATAGTGCACAAACTTAAATTATTATGCACTAATAATACTAGAAATCCTGTAACATATTATCTTTAAATTTATTTACATTGACATGGTAAGATTGAATCTTAGTTGGTTGATTTCTAAACAAATCAACAGCTGGCATATAACCGTCCATATCATTAAGGCTGTATTCATGCACAAAAATAATCTGCGTGTAATTAGGGATATATATATATATACATTTTAGGCTCTGTTTGGCATGATTACTTGGGCTAATTTAGCCATATAAGACAAAATTAGCTATTTTAGTCAAATAGGATAAAATGACACATCTAATCCATAATCATGTCACATTTTCTCTCACAAAAGTTAAAAAAAGTTAAAAAGCCTATCTCAAACGAGATTTTTTAGCCTAAGTTAAAATAGTCAAAAGACTAAAAAGTCAAAAAATCAACCCACATCCCAAATGAAGGCTTACAATTGGTAGAGGAATATGAGAAAAGAAACTTATATCTCACAACAATGAAATTCAACCCAAATATCATATCTGATAAAAAAGCGCTTTATCCACCACGATTAGGACCAAAGTGAAGGTCATGATTAAAAGGATCAAAACATTAATAAAGCATGTTACTTCTAAGTAAAACACTTGTGGCCTAATCTTTGGCAATGGAGCTTGTAATGAGTGAGAAATGGACATATACATGGTGGGTTTAAAATCTTTGTGGTTGGATTTTAAATTTATTGTGAATTTGAAAAGGAAAAAAAAAAAAAAACCTCCTATTTTGTTCTTCTATATTCTACTTTTTTTCTTTTTCTTTACAATTCTAAAATCCTAACACAATTTAATTGAACTTATAGGTAGTGATGTTTTGCAGTCAAGTTCTACTTAGATTATGTTGGACAATCTTTACTGTATTTGAAAAATAAATTCTGTTTGTGTACTTAATAACAAACGGAATACAGAAGAAATAAAGGAAAAAAGAGAATTTGTTTGATTACAAAAATCAAACCAGAAAATAAAATAAAATAAATAAAACAGATTTTTATTTTGTTACAAAAACAAAATAAAAATCTGAAACAGAAAAATAATAAATTACTTACTAAATTAATTTCTTGAACAAATTTTTTGATCAAGTCCAGTGTTTAACATTGTATCCT